TACATGTGTGGAAAATCCCTGATAGATCTGTCTCTTATACACATCTAGATGTGTATAAGAGACAGCAATGTATCTTGTTTGTAATAAATTATCTCATTTTCTGAAATGTTTCATATTTTTTCTGTTATCTAAGGGTCAACGTGTCAACAGCTTGCAGGCAGCCATTCGTAGCACTGAATCAACTCTGCTAGAAGTACAGACAACAGTTGACGCCACCCATGAAATTCTGGATATTGTTGATGTCACTCTGATGAGGGTGGACGTGGTCCTCAATGCAACTCAGGTACTTATCACATACTTAGAGAAACAGGAATAGAAAGAAAAAGAGTGGAATAGAAATTGGGTGTTTTTTGACAGCAGCACAGCTCATTTGGCTAAGCTAGTGGTAGGCTACTGTGTGTTTTCGCTCAGCCTTGGAGATTCTTTGGTACATGGTTCAATTACATCCGCTGCAGTCCTTGTGTTTTAGCTAGTGGGCTGAAATGCAAATATAAAACAATGCGCACCGATTGGATGAACCACTGCATGGCTCACTTGCCAGTGGCGATATCTAGAAGTCTTGAAGTAGGGGTGCTGATGGGTGGGGGTGCGATCGTGAAGTTGTGGGTGGGGGGGGCTCGTTGATCAGTTGTGCTAACTCACAAAAAAGGTGATTTTAGGTGATTTTTAACTACTAGACTGATTTTTGGGGGTGTGACTTGGGGAGGGGGCGCACCACCTAGATACGCCATTGTCACATGCATGACGCTGCACAAAATAGTGCACGTTAAAGAATATAGTAGATGTTCACTAAGGAGTAGGGGATGGTCTCACAGTGTACTGTCGAATCACCACCAGAAGGACCCCACTGGAATTACCTCATCAGATTGTTGTATGTTATCCTAGTGTTCACACCAAATAAATCCAGTCCAATCCAGTCCAATCCAGTCCAATTTCAAAATAAACTCATTTATTTATTGATAAATCATATTATTTAATGAAAAATAAAATAATTATAATAGCCCTAGGTGGCTAGTCTAGAGCAATCATCCTATAATGACCATAGAATTACATAAGTCCAGCACTGTTTCAAAAAGTAATAAGTAAGTAAATAGTACTTCAAACAAATTAACATTAAATTTCTCTTTATTTTTACTGTTGTCATCATTATTGTAATGATTAATATTTACATTACTTTTGTTTTATTATCATTGCCCGTCATCCTTGACTTGCTCCAAAATTTATAGAACAATAATTAGCAGTGTCCTATGATTATTCAATATTATTTTTGTTGTTATTTTGTTACTAAAACCTACCTTAAGGGGAACTTTAGACAATGGAAAAATGAGAGAACAATAAAAAAAAAAACGATGTTAAGGGGAAAATAACACAAAAGATATTCCCCTTAAGTCCGATTTAGAGAAATTATTATTATTATTGTTATTATTTTTGTTATTATTATGGAAAATACCATTTATCTACAATACATGTAATAACAGGAACGTATTTTGTGTATGTTTCTTTTATTCTAAGTAAATTGTCTATACTTATGATTTCAGTACCAGATTAGTTATTCGGATTCAATCGTTGAGGGTGTTATCTCAACCTTGGCAATGGTTGATGCATCAATACTTGCAGCCCTTGAATCCAATACCGCCGGAGATGCAGACTTTTTGGCAGCTTTGATAATCAAAGATGGCGCATCAACTGGCTATACAGGAATTCCAATTGATCAAAGTATCAACCAGTACTGTAAGTCAATAAATCTATCAATCAATCAGTCTGTCAGCCAATCAATAATTAATACATTAATTTAATAATCATTTGATCAAAAAGTCAATCAGTCTATTTTACATATACCTGTAATTACTTATAAACTGACATTATACCATACCACAATCAATTTTATATTTATTCAACAATCTTTTTTAGATCTAACAGTAATGCTTAATTTAAAAACCTATTTAAATACAGATGTAAAAATCCCAACTACAATGAAATAAAATAAAGGTTTGAATTGTAAGTCAATCACATGTCCCCCTGTCTCTTATACACATCTACAGGCATATTTCCCCTCCTCTCCCGTTTCTCCCACAATCACCTACAGACGAAAGTTTCTCATTTTTATCACAACCACATATACTATAGTAATTGTAATTTTGACGTTTTGACCCCTTGTTTTATAGCTATAAATGGATGGTCATCGGCAATGGTTGCTTCTAGGTTTCGACTCAATGATCTCCGGGATCTGCAGCCTGTCACAGAACAAACCGTTGTTTTGGCCGAAAACACTGCTTTTACCTTGGCAAACACAGCACAAGACACAGTTGCGTAAGTTAAACCATAAAACTCATCTCTGTTTAAGCATATGGTTATTTGTTGTCTAAAATATATACATTTAATATATACACTAACTAGCAATTTAATATGTCATTAAACTAACCAACAAGCAGTTTAATGAAAAATGTCATCAAACTGATCAAATTGGTCAGTTTAGTGACAAGCAGATTATATGACATATGTCTCATTAAACTACTTTTTGGTCAGGTTAATGATGTCATTAAACTACGTAAATAAATGTTGATGTCGATTGACCTTTGATACGCAGCCCACACATTTCACGTCGGCAATTGCCGACCATATTGCCGAGCCAGAATTGCTACAGGACAGCAATTTTTTGCCGACCTAGGCCTAGATTTCTTTGCTTCAAAAACTGCTTGGAAAGTCCTGAAACAGGTGGTTCATAAAACAGATTTGTTTGTACAATAACTATTTCAAATAATAGGCATGCAGTACGTATGATTTGTGTACAATCGTCTTGTCTTTCTCGCCTAGTCGTTTCGTAGGCAGGAATGACGCTAGCCAGCCAAGGCCTACAAATTCGCCCAATTGAAGCCACGTGGGCCGCGTAGATAGTAATGCTTATCTAAATCTATTATTTGTCTTCATTTTACAGTATTATCATATTTAAAATGTTATTTATTATCTAAAAACAACAAAATTCAACATATTGTAGGCCTAATCCTACCGTCCATTTAAACGCAATCATGATCGCATTGTGAATTTACTACTGACAAGTACACTGTACATATGTGGAAAATCCCTGATAGATCACTCTGGGCATGCGCATGGACATGCATGGGCAGTTTTGAAGCAGCCTGTGATGATACGATCGTAGCTTTTACGAAAGGGATATTTCCCATGCCAAAAATAACTATAAAACAAACGCTAAAACGAAATTTATTCGGCCATTTTCTTATGTAAAACATATATATTATACTACGCTATTAAATTAATACAAGCACAGTACGACCATTCTTTCACCAGCAATATATTGATTTAATAGAGAAATTAACAAAATCACAATCTGTAGATGAAGATGTAAGGTCGAGCGTTCGGAAAAATTGTAGTTTATACTATATAGGCCTAGGTAGTAAAAAATTGCCGAGGCTGCCGACCTCGGAGAATTTAAGGTCGGCAAATTTTTGCCAACCTAATTTTTTCCTAATTTCATGGGCTGGATACAGACATGCACGGTTCATACTTCCAAGTCGAAGTAGAATTAAAGGCTTGTTTTTATTCTATAGGATTTTTTCAGCTGCTCAAGTCTCTGGCCAACGGCCAGTTGACATTTTCGACCACTATGAGGGCGTAGTAACAACCATTAATGAAGCTGAAGCAGTTATACAGAATGCTAACGACACAATTGCTGCGACTACATCCTTCCTAGATACAGTCTCTGTTGATACTCTGATGTCACAAGCAAACTCCTCAAAAGTCTTCAGCAGATTGACCTTAGATGTGGTTGAATTGAGGACCACTGATCCTGAAGGTATCATATATATCGATATGGGTGCACATGCTACTAGTTGTATAGACAGTCTTACTATACTTGATAGTCATCGTTTTACTATACTCGATAGGGCATGTTTCTGCTGAATAACGCCAAAAACATGTTTTTTAAAAACGTACCGTACACGTACTGTTTGAAAGCACATGTCGTTCATCACATGTTACCATACACGGAACATCACATAGTACAGTACATGATACATCACACAGTACAGTATATGGTACATCATACAATACAGTACATGGTACAGTATGTGTTACATCACACAGTACAGTACATGGTACAGTACATGATAGCACTTAGTGCAGTCCACATCACAGTACTTACCACAGCATACAGTATACTACATAGTACAGTACACAATGCAATACATGGTACAATAATTCTATACAGTGAGGAGCTGACAATAAATTTATACATACAAAAAGTATTCAGTTAATTTTGAAGCCTGTTTATGTGTAGTATTTAACATATTTATATTTATACATGCAGCGTTGAATGACACGTTAACAGTGGCATACAATGGCATCAGTGATTCTGAGGCATTGTGGGATACTATTGAAGCTGATACTGCCAGCCTAGAAGTTTCTGCAAACAGTTTGGCTCTCCTTGCTGCAAGTAAGCATTGTACATAATAAAATATCATGCAATTTTGATTTGAAAAAGTCAACTTGCTGTATTAGTTTTTAAAATTATTTTATCTTCTTCTATTCTTTATTGGTCTAATATATTTAAAATAAATACATCAGAAATTCTTCATTTATACACTGCAATAAAAGGTAAGAAATTCAATATACAATTACATATAAAAGGTTAAGTTCTGTTTATTCTCTTAAATATATATTATCATATTAAATATTTAATTTTTTTAATTTTTTTTCTGCTGTTTATTATTTTAAATGTGATAGCATAGTTGTTTGTTTCTTTAATTAATTGTACCTGTATTTCCCTTTCTTCTTAAATTGATATTATATTTGATGTTCAGGTCATTGAACTGGAATAGGCCTAGGTGAAATTTCACCTTGATTTCATCAACCTTGGTTCTATTCATTTCATTTAATTTTGTAAATGTAATAGAATAACATAAAATGAAATATTATATATTCCATAATCTAAAATTTTGTAGTGAGTGAAATAAAAATGTATAACAATTTCAGTACTGTTGTGAATTATTTTATTTTGACATATTATTTGACTTCAATAGATCCCATGATACAGCCTGCTATTAATATGGGTGTTTCGGATTCGGCGGCGGCAAGTACTACATCGAACAATGTGATCACAAACTCAGCGGCACTGGATGGACGTGTCCTAACGAATGCTGCTGAGATTGCTGTTGTTCAGGACTCCATCACAAACTCCACCATGCTTTTGAATCAAATTCCTGTTGTAGGTAAGTCAGAAGTATCATGATGTCATTATCATCATCATCTTTATCATTATCGCAATTGTCATCATCTCTTTCACCATCATCTATGGAACAGAATTAAAGTACACACTGGAAAGAAAAAATCACTACAGAAATGACTGGGTCACTGCAAGGCTTGTTTTGATTAGGTAAACCTTCACCCAAGGTCAAAATCAGTGATGGCCGAATGGTATTTGCTAGTTTAATCAAGCGTAACTAACACCAGCTTATTGTAGCAGGTCACAGTGCCTGAGCACCCCTCCTCTTTGTTGAAATGTGTAAAAAATAATAAAATTAATTGAATAAAATAGCAAAAATTACTTAAAACTTACCAACCAATTTTGGTGTAGTCATATCCATTGATATGCTCCATCCTAGTTTTGCACCTTGCGTGAAGTCAGTGGATGTTATATTTCTATTCAGCACCCCTTTTCAAAGATTCTGAATACACCACGGCAGGTGGCCAAGCAATTCACTGACAAGTAACTTTGTGCACGGCTACATTGCACCAGCATTTGGCCGCGTGTCTGTTCTTATAAGGTGGATGCACACGAGTCCTAATGTATGTTTTGCTATGTAGCAAAACGTTCAGGAGACTTTACTCAGAAAAAATAATATTCTAAGCATTTTATAGGTTTTCACTCTTTGGAATTTCTTATTAAATGTTGAAAGATTGTGTATTTTATTTTATTTTTTTTCTTAACTTTGGTAACTTTTGTTATGTCATTAATCTATTGTAATAAAATAAATTATTTGTATACTTCTAACTGGCTATATGTATTTTTTTTTCTATGTTTCGAACGATGTTGCTTTTTGTTGTAATTGTGCATTGCTATGGTTACTCAGCTGACGGTAAATATACGTTGTTGATAAATGTTTGTAAAATGAATTGTAAAAATAATAATGTTGAAATGTAAACTTGTGTTATTGTGTGATCTTGTTTTTGCATACATACATACATGATATTCTGTGTGCAGGTGATACATTCAGTTAAAAACAATTCACAGCGCAAAAAAAAAAAAGAAAAAAAAAAACAATAACTAGAGAAACTGCAGGAAAAAAAGGTGTAAAAATACAAACATTTCTACTAAAGTCAGTTCTTTTCATTATATAAATTAATTTAAAAAGGTAAAAATTAGACTTTTTAATTAGAATAATAAGAATATAAACATTAAGTATGTATATTTTGCTCTTATTAAAATCCTCTTTGTAATAACATTTTTTTTTTACTTTAGTTGGACAGATTGAGACAGACATTTCTGACTTAACCGTCATGGTGGACCAGCTGGAAATTTTAAGAAACGAAACTGCAGCACAACGTGTTGTTGTTACTGACAGACTTGCTTTGCTTCAGCAGAAACTCCTGTTGGCTCAGGAAGCAGTTGCCAACTCAAAACAACCAGTACGTTTTGCTCCTGACAGTTCCATCAGTGTTGCGCGCGCACCAACTGTGCAAGCGCTATTCAACGAGTTAAATATGGACTTGAAGACAGACTTGCGAGATGGTCTGGCGTTCTTTGTAGAGAATCCTGACACAGGCGCCCTTTTTTCCATTGAAGTTGTCACTAGTCATGTTCTGTTTAAGTACAATCTGGGTCAAGATTTGGTAACAATTGAAAGCCCGATTGATGTTTGCTGCGGGGAATGGTATCATGTCGTTGCAACCAGGTATTTTATCGTCTTATATTTTCAACAAGGGAAATCAAATTCACTAAGCAGCTGAGCCTTTTAGTGGCAATTGGCAAAAAAGTATAAATTATATTTTCATTCGTAATACTTAAAATACAAAAAGCAAGTATGACTGCAGATCAAACAAAGATGCTGGACTTAAATATACTAGATATGTAGATATACTGTATGTCTAAAAGTATAAGAAAAAACATTAATTTAAAATTACATAAAGTATATTGAATAAATTTGCACATTAATTACAATAAAGTTAAATCTGTAAAATTTAAGACAAATATTAAAAATTTGATAAATTAAGCTTATTTACTACATTTTACATAGTATTTTTTTAAATACCTTAAAAATAAAATATTTTCATTTTGTTATGTAAATAATTTTTCCAATATACTGTTATGTAGATATGGCCATGAAGGTCAGCTTTCTGTGGAGAAGTTGTCAACAGGGGGCGCTTCAACTGACTTCGGTAGTAGTGTGATTACCTACGACATGTACATGAATCTTGGATCTACTTCTCTGTACTATGTTGGTGGAATACCGTCAGAGTATGAGGTAAGTTAATTTACCAACACGAATCATTACAGTAAAGTGCAGTATTTTATTGGTCTTAAGGAATAAGGAAATGTAGGCTAACCCATGGGAATCGGCAACCACCATGGTGCCGTACTAAAGGGCAATTGGGCAGTTAGTACCAGAAGACATTTAAAGGAAAGCAGTTCAATAATGCAGAGACTGGGATACAGATCTTCATGGTCCAGTGCACACACATTGTTTTTTTACCAACCTCCTACACTGCTTTTTTGGTCATGATACTCTGAAACCAATAAGGTACTTGCAGAAAATTAATTAATAAGGTGCAACCATGTTCCAGGGGTGGCACCAGCAGGTGGGCCAGCTAGACCCAGGTCAAGTCATTGGGGAATTAGCCCAACTGTCAAGGAGTTAGGGGGAAAATTATAATAATTTCTTATGTCAGAGAAAGCTGGCACGAGAGTGCAATTTTTATGCTGCCACTACTGGAAGTGACATTTTTTAACCTTAGGGTCAACCAGGATTTGGCTGAGGTTGGTGCAGCCCATCTGCTGGGGAATGATGGACCAATTGTCAGTTAAATGCTGATGCCATCACTGCCCTATGTCCTATGTTTTTTCTTAGGTGCTCCAAAAAAATTTGACTATTTCAATAAAGGATAAAAGACAGATAAAGATATTTTGTAAAAAGGATTATTTATATAGAGACAAAATATCTTGCATTCATCAGTGTATGAGTGTCATCTGTTTTTATCATTTTTATGAGAGTTATACACCTGCCAACTCTCATGCATTATGTCACGCATGAGCATCCACTTTTTGCGTCTCGCGTCTACGTTGTATTATCTCACGCATCATAAAAAATTTGTAAAATTTACAGGCCGATTATACCCTAAAATTCATAAAAATTAGGTGAATTTAACATTAAAATGTGAATACAGGCCATATAAATCTATTTTAACGAAGCTTACCAACCAACGATGTAATCAGTTCGATCACTACAAATGAAAAGAAAGTAACTTAGAGGGTGTTTATTTTGTGATTTTTACATTGAGGGTGCTATATACAAATTTATTTTTTTTGTCTCGCGCATCGGACGCCAGCAAAGTTGGTAGGCATAATATTAGGGAGAGGGCAGTTGTGGCGGATTGGGTTGAGAGTGTATGTATCGTTTTTCAAAATAACCAAATAACATGATCTCAAATTCACCACATACATCTTGCATAATGTATTGTTTCAGGGCAAAAGGTTTTCTGCTCTCCATAAAATATTTGAAAGAATAGATGAACCTTAATTTGAAAATACTGTAAACTAAATTATTTAATCAATTAATATATATGTTTTTTAAGTATGAGAAGTTGTTTTTTTTTTTAACTTTGTCAATTTCATTTACAATTGTCTTAAGGGATTCTTAGTTTTTTATCAACAGATTATGTTTCTTTAAATCGGTGTATTTATTTCAGGCAACTGTAGTACTTGGATCAGTATTGTTGCTTTAGATAGTTGATATTATTCCTAAACTTTGTGGTAACTTTTAATGGTATCTCTTACTGGTACAGTCTACTACTTAATCTTATCTTCTTTCCCTTCCATTAGTTTAATTTACTCTTAACTTATTAAACATAAAAAGTTTAGTTACTAAATAGCTTGAATATTAATTTAGTGAATTTTTCAAGGAACTTAAATGTTTTTTTTGGTCTTAAGGGTATGTTTTGGAATCATTTACTTATTCGATTAATAGAAAGAAATTTTAAAATTTTTATCTTAGGCTGATGATTATTGCATGCTCACAATTGCTTTTCGTTTCAATCTCTTTTTCATTGTATTTATTAAGTTGTTTGGTTTTTATTTTCACAACAAACACCTCTGTAGACATATTTCATCTTTAATAATATATTATTTTGTTATTTAAAAATACCAGTTATCGCAAACTCTGGACTTCATTGGAACGGTAAATATATTTTATATTGGAAAACTCTTGCAATTAACTGATTATTTGAGTTTTTTCTAGTAATTTTCGTTTGAATTTTTAGCAATTGAAATAATAAATTTTCTTCCAAATTAATAATTTTAACTTTTTAAAGAAATTGTCTGTAAATTTAAATATTTTTATTAGAACTATTGCCTATCAGTATTCAGTATTCTTTTATTGTCATTTGTAAACATTATACATTTACATTGAAATGGCATTGCAAAAGTCAAAAAGAAAGCAGTACTCAATAATGAAATATAATATAACACAGGTAAAACTATCCCCCTCCATACACGATCCCAATATTTCTAATATCTGACAGCGAATTGCCAATAAAAATTAATAAGTAATATCTAAACTTAAATAAGCTCAAATATTTTTCATTCAACCTATTTAATGGCATAATTTCAAATCTGTTACTCACAACCAACCTATTCTTAATATTATTGTTTAATTTTCACATGCATCCAGATTGAAGACATCATGGCAAATCAGGTAGCTTTTTATCTTTAGCCTTTTGGGTTTTCAGTCTTAATATAATTATTCTTATAATATATAATGTAATAATTATATGTTTTTTTTTTTATTTTATTTAAAAACCACAGCCAACTGTTTTAGTGAATTTCACTATTGCAGATTCCTCTCTAACTTCTAACATATAAATACAATTTATAAATATATATATATTGATATGTAATTATCATGTATTTATCATGAAGAAAGTAATGTATTTTCTCCATGGTATTTATAAAGCATTACAACAGGGTTGGTTTAAAATTTGTCTCTTTACTTGTATTAAGATATAATAAACAAATATGAAGTTTACAAAAATATTTTAGGTAATTTTTCATCTCAAACCACTATTTTATTGTCATTTTGTCATTTTTTTTAATCCTTTGTCATGATTTTATTACAAAACTATGTTTTTACCTAAGAATATTTGAATTTAATATAAATTTCTTCTGTGAACAGGTGGACACAACTGTTCTTCAGCAGGTAAAAAGTAGACAAGTGTTTACATCCATTTTCATCGTGGTTTTTTTTTTAACATTGGTAAACTTAGAATAGAAATGAAGATACACATACAGTATCAAGCATTGAGCTTTCATATTGCATGGTCATAGGATGTTACTGACCATGCATTACTTCATCAATTAAATGGTTTTTTTAATAGTCTTATACCAAATACAATGTTTGATTAAAGCCATTCATTGGTAAATAATACAGATTACTAGATACTTTCTATCATTCTCATTGGTATTTTTACACTTGGATGCATGGATATTAATTTGATTAATTTACTTTCATTTTTAGAATCAGAACAATTTTTTTGTTCATTTTTTTTTAGCGGACATTATAAAATGAGGCAAGTGATGGTTTTGTAAAAACCATTGCTTAGCAATGTAAATATTCTCCACTTTTGCTTGATAATTATACAGTAGTTAGTTTTATAGATAATTAAGGTACCTGAATATACTGATTATTTTCATTGTTCCTTTACCTAAACAAAATAATAAAACCGTCCATCTCACTGCATCTTATATCCGTGCTATTTACCACATTCATTTTTCTGTGTTAAAAACATCAATAGGCAATGTGGTAATTAACATTATTTGGATGGTTCTATTATTTTCAAGGTGTGTTGTATATGCAGGAACAATTATAGCAATAGTTGATTAGTCTAAGCATGGAGGTATAAAAATATTTTATCAGAGATACCAACATCACTACTGATTTTTATATTTTATTGTACTTGAAAATGCATTTATATTTTACATAATCATGTTTTGTATGCCTTTTTATTAGTTGTTCACAAACATTAAAATCTTACAGCATGTTTTTACAATCTTTTTAATAATCAGTATCCAGAAGAGTATATTCAAGATTCTAATTTATAATTTCCACTCGCAATTTTTTTTCACTGGTTTTTTACATCCTCTGCCTGACATCCCTCAATCTTTTTTACTGGACTTTCTCTGCTAGAGTCACTTCTCTACTGGAATCTCACATCCATCCTCTACCAACCTACCACTTGAATTTGGACCCCTCTTCTCTTAACAGCTGCTCTCTTTTCCAATCTCTCCTCTTCACATGAATAATTCTGTAGTAAACTTTATCAAATGATTTTGTTCCTCAGACTGACAAAGTACAGAGCCGAGATTTTGAAGGTTGTATCGCCAACGTGGTGTTTGATGGGCAAGAGCTTGACCTGTGGCGACCTGTCCGCCTGACTGGCTCTACCTCTTGCTGTCCTCGTCCAGACTTGCCAGATCTAGGGACAGACACCCTCATAGATGGGCTAAGCTTCTCAGGCTTTGGCTACTTCCAGGTAAGATAGATGGGTTGGTGCAGTGGTAAAGTGCCTTACATTTTAATAGAGACACTGGTTCAATGATTTTAGAATCATTGAGATTAATTCAACAACTAAAGTAGTAAATCCTTGCCAAGCTACTAAAGCTCATAGGGCTGCAGCTTAGCCCCAGTTTCTGTAGCGTAAAGCAGATGAGAGTGTGATACTCTTCCCGGGTGAAATGCTGGTCGACGCATTGCTTGTACCCACTGATACAGCTGATAGACTGAAGCAATGTAGAAGTGCCTTGCTGAAGGACACAAGCAAAATGCACAGCAAAGGAATGAAACCCCCAAAACATTCCCACTGCACCAAACCCCTTCCAAAATCAATCAAATCTGAAATATTTAAATATTTTTGTCAAAAATTTTTGTTGCATTATTATTTAAAGGAAATTAGATATTACAGGTATACTCCATTTAGTTTTTTTTTTTTAGTTTTTTTTATTTATAAACCTTATGGTATAATTTCTGCTGAACTTTTTTATATTAAAGCTGATCAACACTCAGGAAGATTTTAACATCTATCAACAAGCACGCATTTCCATTGAATTCCGGACATCCATCAGTGATGGAGTCGTGTTCCTGATCACTCGGCAAGATCTCATCTCTTACATCGGTATTTTCATGGAAGCTAATAAAATCGTATTTGAAATGAATACTGCTGGGAATGTAAAATATAGACTTACAAGCAATAGGGATTTTAACAATGCAGAGTGGGTCCAGGTGGGTACATACTAATTGTCTTCTCACTTATTCTATTCAGATGGAGATCTTGGACAGTGTGTTAGGCAGTTGCTGTATTTAAAATTATATAACATCAATAAAAGCAAGTTGGTAGTCCAAACTTAAATATGATAATAAATGCAGAGGACAAGTGGTATAACGTAAAACCTCAAATTGAACCCCAAAAGGTTTAATCTCGTAAAGAAGCTCATCTCGAATTGAAGCCCCCTCTCAGTGGCGGCGCCAGAAATCTGTTGATAAGAGGTCCGACGGAGGGTTCCGATCCAAGGCAACGATGAAGCTTCGGTCAACGACCCAGAATGAAAAATCACTGATAGGGTTCATGGGTCACTGCTAGGGTTCATGGGTCACTGCTAAGGTTCCATGGGGAGAGTTTTTATGGCTTAATTTGGTCCTAAATCTGCTTTTAGATCACATTATTAGGGATTGGCAATCAAAATAGCATTATTTGGACAGGCAAATTATTATTTTTTATTAGTTTTTGGTCCAACGACCTAGCTGTTCTTCGGATGACAGGGGTCAGGAATGTCCAACAGGTGGGCAAATGCCCACCCTGCCCCCTCTTCAGTTTGCAAAATTAGCCTTAAAAGGAAGCCCATCTTCTTTTCAAGATAGTACAGTACACAAAACTGTACATGAGTTTCAAGGCCCAGGGCTTTAATTCGAGGTTTTACAGTTTTTCCCCTCTGGACAATTTTGTCTCAAGGTATTGCAAAATGTACAATGGATAATAGTAAATCACATGAATATATATCAAGTACATCACAAATCAAATAAAATTTGAATTGCATTTTGTCAAATCTAAAAAAAATATTTTTACATAATTCTTGAAATAAAGCAATAAGCCATATTGGGAAATCATCAAGTCATCTCAGCACCATTTGCCAGCTAAGGCACATAGCCAGCCTCTGTGTGATACACAGGTGCCTGGCATCTGGACTTTCCTATCCTGACAACAACTTAACTATAAAAACTATGATTAATGAAGCATCATTATTATAATTATTTGTCTCTATTTGGATCTATTGAAACCGTCGAAGCAATTGGAAGTCACTGGTAGATGTTACAAATTATTTCAATCTTTTTGCTAGGTTACCACTGCGTTTAATGCTAGTTACTACTCTATGCAAATACGTGCGGCCAATATTAGTCAAACGCTGCTATTTCATCAAGAATCTCGGACGTATGCACCATTGTCATTTGCAAATCTTCGAGTTTCATCAAAGGTCATGATTGGGTCACCTGATCCTGATCTCAACTCATTCATTGTGTAAGATATTATTATTTTTATTGAAATTTATATAGACATTCAGCAATACTGAAACTTAATTGATAAATTAATATTATAATTGTATATATGCAATATTATAATTGTATATATGCAATATTAATTTATTTTTGATATTCATTAATTGAAATTCTCAATTTTATTTTTTTTTTGTAATTGATGGTGTAATTTGTCCTTTTGGGGCACCTTTTAAAGATAGTGATTAAGTTTGCTTTTAAAGCAATCCACAGGCCCTGTTTTCATGTTACTTTATTTTATATTTCATGTTTCAAGTTTTCATGTTACTGTATGTTTTATTGTTTGCACCTGGAAATAAATAAAATTTTAAAAAATTTTAAAAATAGATATAATTATCTTTTCCAATACGCCAGATATGACCAACTTACATCATGCATACTTTCTTGTTGTAATACTGTCCTTAATAATAAGCTCAATACCAAGGGGTCACTTTCTCAATGTATCCAGAAATAATTTTAAGTTTATTTCTGTGTATATTTCCTTGGTATTTGTTTTGTTATGCATGCTTTGTATTTTGTTTTCAATTCTTCAGACGCGGTCCTACCAACTTAAAATTTGCCGGTTGTGTTCGCAACCTCCAGTTGTCTTATGCTAGCTCTATGATTCTTGTACCGCGACCTCTAAATAACGAAACAGTTGCAGATTTTCAAGATGTGTCATTTGATGGCTGCTTAGAGCAGGTATGGTTAAGATGTAACCAAAAATGCCTTCATTATTTTGCTTTGATATTATAAATTATTTATATGCCTTGTATTTTATTTTATCAAATATTTCATTTTGGTGTATAACCAAAATTGCTGAAAATCCCCACTAAAACATTTAATATGTGTACAAAAACTATGATAAATATTGTATGAACCCTGAATAATGGAGGTTTCTATCTTGACTGTTTTAAAATAAATTTAAAAAAATTCTTTCCTCATGATGGTCTTTTTTTTTAAGTTTGCTTCAAGATAAATTCAATCAGATATCCTTGAGTTTTTTTAGGTTAAGACAACAAGCTTCCACATTCTGACATGAGCAATTTCAAACTTTCTTAGGTTGTACCTGGTGTCGGTTTTAGCGGTGACTATGCTTATGGTAGGCTTAGCCTTCCAGCCGAGTTGGCCCAGGTGCAACGCATCTACATACAGTTCAAGACACTGGAACCTGACGCTATACTAGCCTACAGTTGGGATGCTGAGAGCTTTGTAAGCAATTCTAGATTATTTTTAACATGTAAATATTTTATTATATTATATTTGGATTGACTGATACATTCTAGCGTCATTGTTTTTTTGTTTTTCTTCCTTTTTTCAGAATAAATTGTTTTATATCGCCCTCTATCATGGCAATATATTTGTGCAGTATAACATTGGTGAAGGATTGACTGAACCATTACAAACTAAGGGGCTGAGACTAAATAATGGACAGTGGCAAACTGTAACGGTTGAGTTCACAGGCTTATCGTGAGTTATTCAAACTTTTTTAATGTTTATATCTCTTTAAAAGAGTTTTTAGAAGAGTATATGAACTTATAAAGGGATATTTATTATAAGAGCATTACATATCTTGAAGTTTGCCAACCACAGAACAAAATGTTTTTAAAAGCACCTGAAAATGAAATACTCCATTGTATAAGGTATATTTTCCAAAATTTTTAGAGTAATAATTTACATAATAATTTTTTTCCAGTGCAACTATTCGTGTCAATAGTATGCCGTTAATATTGAGCAATCGTCAGTTGAGCACCGATGGAATTCTTATCACTGGTTCTAATAGTTACCTGTATGTTGGTGGTGTACTAAGCACCATCCCAAATCTAATTGGTGGAGAGTTCCCGGTTCGAGAATCGCTGAATGGTGACATCAGGAACTTTATGATAAATGATGTGTAAGTCTGATGATATATGGTATAGTGTCAGGAAGAGACTGAGTTCAAGGTTCATTCCAACCAAGATCTGGATGTAACTCTGTGACAATTCCTTTATTTTTAATGAAATTTGTATCATTTTGATCACTTTATCAATTGAAGATGTTACTTAAAACTCACTTTTTATTTTACAGTACTCCTAATTTTAATGATGATGCGGTTTTAACAGCACAGCAAGGCATTACATTAAGCGGAGTGACTCCACCTGTTGCTACACTTCCACCCTTGCCTTATGTCACAGAGGCTCCACCAACCAGTATCACACCAATGCCAATGTGTTCAGATCTTCCCGATGTTTTTCTGTATCCTGACGTCTTTCGTTTTGGTCTGGAGGACAACAGCTATGTCACATTCCCCTTAAGTGATGAAGACAGGCAATATTTTCTATACAGGTTGGAAAATTGTCGTTTATAATGAAAGTTTATTTTTATCTAACTAATAGAGTACTACAGTGTTACGTCACAATATCATGTGATACTACTCCATTGCTATCGTTGCAAAATGCGTTCAACTGGACGCCATTTTCTCCACTGACAAACCATTGATCCCAATTTCTAACGTAATTATTAAGATGTTGTATCTTACTTTTTCTTTGTAAATTTGAACTGATTATTAAGTGTGTGTTCGTTAACTAATATAATGTGAGCTTTTGTATTTTTAGTACATTTTGATGGGAAAATATTAGATTTTAAAATGCATATGAAGTCATTCAGGCGTAATGAAGGCAACCATCATCAGTAGACAACAGAGAGAGCCAGCTGGCGTCATGATGACATGACTGTGGTACTCTATACTCAATAGATATGAAGTATAATCTTATCAGATAGTATGCTGCTTTAAAAATATTCCATTTAAACACAAATACTTCCACATCTGTATCTGTGCTACCACCAACATAACCTTCTATTTCTTTTCTCCAGTTTTGTAATAACAATAGAATTTCGTGCTATATCACCAAATGGTATACTGTATTATGCTGCGAGTAATGCTCTCTTACCAAGGGAGTGGATTGCTCTTGTCATAATAGATGGCTACTTAGAGTTCAGTATGATTAGCAATGCAAGATCTATTAGAGGAATTGGAATCCGTACAAAACAGAAGTATGATAATGGTGAATGGATCAAGGTATGCCTAAATATTTCAATGAAAGATGAGAATCATCCTTTAGAATCACATATAGTGTGTTTAGGGTATAACTGTTGTGTCAATATATATATAATTGTATATTTAAATACTGTAAAAACTGTACAGTAAACAACTGTATTGTGTCCACACTATGAGATTTTCTGTGATAAATATCAGTGATTAAACTACAACTCTTGTATGCGACTCAATTTCTCAATTATTAGCAGAATTACACTGGTTACCTGTTAAGGATAGATTGCAATTTAAGTTACTTGTGATGGCATACAAGTGCATACATGGCTATGCCCCTCAGTATCTAACTTGTCCATAAATACATTCCTTCAAGACAACTTCGCTCTAGCACACAACTGCTTCTCAGTCATGTTAAAGTTTCAACCAAATCTTATGGAGAGCGATCCTTTCAACATGCAGTGCCCAAACTTTGGAATCAGCTACCAAAGAATGTAGTGGATTGCACATCACTTGCACAATCCAAATTATGTCTCAAAACTCACCTATTTATTAAGAAGCGCTTAGAGACTTAATTGTAATATGCGCTATATAAAAAATTATTATTATTATTATTTTGCTCATATATGGGCATGATGATGGCACACTATACTTATTTAAGAGCAGATCACAGATTTGGTGCATACAAATTGATAGTATGGAGTTTTAGGTATATCAAGGTTCAAAATTTCTTTATTTGTGTCCTCTCGGAAAAAATCACTTGGTACATCACATCCTGAAACAGAGGTTAATACAAAACAACGAAAACAATATAATTATAATTAGGCCCTAAATTTTATTTGATATAATGTTGCTTTCAGGTTACAGTGTTAAGGATAAATGAGTTTGTTGCAATCTTAGTGACAGAAACCAGAGATTATGCAAATAATAATCAGCCATCAAATGCAGTTACGTCAAGGATCAGTATTGGTACAGACTTCAATCTTGGAGGGATAAGTCCAAGCATACTCTTAAGTACTTTCCCACTTACAGTAAGTTTAGCTTTCAATTTAAATTTGTCTGATAGGTATTCTGATAATGTGGGATTTTCTAATAATCAGTCTGATTATCAAACTTAGAAAGGGGTTCTGAATTGTTAAAGTATTTGAACAAATACATTAAATTTGAGCAGAATTTAAATTTGCTTATTTAATATCTTTTTGATATTTCAGTTCACCACTGGATTTGATGGCTGTATCAAAAATGTTGAGATACAAACAGATGACATTCCTCAAGACTTAATCTTAAATTTTAGGTAAGTTAATTTAAATACCTAAATAAACTCTTTGTTTTAGAATTATATCTAATGACAATACATCTCTCTATGTCTCGCATTTTTGGCTTTCCTTCATGACTCTAGCCGGGTCCATATGCATTTCCCTGTCCTGGTTTCTCCAGGTCCCTGTCCATATTAACCATTATTTGAATCTCTTTCTCAACAGAGATCCATCCCTGTACTTTGCACAATCAGTGGAAACTTGTTCTCTCAATGATGTTATACCGGGGGCATTCTTCAATGGTACAGGCTATCTACAATTAGGTGAGGAATTTTTTTTTTTTTCTATTTTATTTTGCAAGAAACTCTGAAGTAATTTATGCAAGTCATCCAGATTTTATTATTCAATGTTACTTGCTTGTCTTCATGGTGTAACTGGACCGATTCTGACAAAAACCTGCCTTTCATCTTTGAAATTGGCCATTTTTCACCATGAAGACATGAACAAATATAGAATAAAATAATAATTGCATCATTTTCTCAGTGTTTGTGTATCTTATGTTAGAATTATCTGTGGACCCATGGTTCATATATTTAACATTGTAATGTTAAGATAACAGAAGTATTTTTTGTTTGTAACTTTAAATGATGGTAGTGCCTCCAGCTCAGTGCAAAGGTGGAACTAATCAAGGGTAGACCACAATTTTCCTTTTGCATACCTTATACTCCATTAAAGAAAATAAACATTTGAAAACTAAACTAAAATCTGAAGTAATTTTTTATTTGCAGAAAACAATTTTGTTGTTGGTGATTCATTACATCTGAGTATGACGATCAGGACGACTGTCAGGGAGACTATTCTTTTTGCTGTCTCTTTAAATGTTGAGAATTTTGTAGCTTTGGATATTTTTGAAGGAGGGGTAAGTGGGTAGTAATTAAATCAATCATTCCTAAAAATTGACAAACTTTTGAATATCTTAGACAATGCGTGGCACTGCTGTACATTACCACATATCCCTGTCAATCATTTATAAAGTGGCAGAGCTATATAGATCTTTTAATATTTCATATTTGGTTCAAGTGCTTATCTTTCAGTACCATGGTCTTGGTTTCAAAGTATGCCAAATTTATGATTCAATAAGCTTAGTAATAAGTACAGGTCTTTATGTATTCTTATTATTTTATTCAGAAAAAAAGAATTATCATTTTTCAAATACCTGTACTGTGTAGGTGGCTTTAACCACTATGAGGCCAATTTATTGTAGAAGGTGCAACAAACATTCTTCTCAAACAAATGTTTAATTACTATAATTAAATTACTGTATCATGCCATATTGAAGCATGTAAAATACAGTAATTAAACGAATTTTACTGTAGGCCTATTCTTGGTTTTGATTAGCTGATTTCATTTGGTCTTACAGGTACGCGCTATAGTGAGTCACAGTTCATCTTCACCATACATAGTACGTTCATCAGTCTTTGTGAATGGGTATGAAATCTGTGACAACCTACCCCACACAGTTGACTTGTCGTTCACACAGCTCGGCCTACAGCTCACAGTTGATAGTTACCCGCCAGACATAACATACTTCTCACCTGGGGTTCCAACAGTCGTCACCAACAGCCCGATATACTTTGGCGGTATTCCAGGTAGATAGTTCAATTTTACTTGTGAATGAGAATCACAAACTTAGGCAGTGAATTGGTTATCCTGATTGCTCTTAGGGTGCTTGGTGTTCCGCCGCTGTGGTAGGACTGGGATTCCAATCAAATGATCTGGGGCACAGTCTTAACATTCTTGTGCAAGGCACTTTATCCTCATTTTCTGTCCACACATTTTCTGGTTCCTGGTTCAGTTCTCATTGCTGCTCTCCTTGTGTTTTTGCTTGAGGGCTAAGATGCAAGAATTAAAAGTACACCATCTTCTGGAAAAGCTATTTAAGCCATTGGTCCTGTGTGCAATATTTTTCAGTACACTAGGGATTTCCTCCATGGGTTATATTTGGTGTGGACACAGAATAAATAGAAACCAATATATTTCCATTATGTTAAGAATTTTTCTTGCTGCTGGAATTAAATAAATAAAATTACAATTTTGGTGATTTCTATTTTTTAGAAACTGGAGCTGTTCAGTTGATCAGTGGCATCGTGACCAATTCCTTTACTGGTTGCATACAGACAATCTTGCTAAATGATGTACAGCGTAATCCACGTGATAATGTTGACAGTGTTGGCATGACAACAGGATGCCCTTTTCCTCTTACATAAACTTATTTTTACTTGCTGTTAACTAAATTATGTTTAATCATTTTATTATACTTATATGAATTAGACAATTCTGTGTAGCTCATAGAATGCGTATAATCTTAAGGAATTATTATTATTGTTTATGTACAGAAATGACAACATTCTCTTTTGCAAAAAGCTTGCATAGGTGCAGCACCAATGTCTGAGGTTCGTTTGTTTGTGCCTTTATTTGTTTGGCATTTATTTACATTGATTCTTTTTAACCAAGATTAAATGGGTTTCTGATATAATAGTAAATGAAAAGTAAACACATCATTTTAGATTGTAAGCAATCTTAATACCACACCAGCTAACAGTTAGCAGGATCCAGATAAATAACATACTCGCTCACACTTGCGTTCATACAAGAAAGTCTCCGATCCAGATAGCAAAAAGATGATGATAAGATCACTGGCCAATAGGAACCTGGAAATGCATACGTGTGGTTGGTTAATGATAGGAACGTGCTCAACTTGCTGTCTGATAGTGCTCGCTAACCACCATTAGCGTATCCAGATCCTTGTAATAGTTAGTGGTAACCAATCAGGCGTTCTCACATGGGTGCTAACGGTTAGATCCCGATACTAGAGCTCTAGTGTGAACCTAACCATATTTTAAAAGAATCTGCTATTTGGTGATTAAAATTATTTAAAGTAGTTTTAGGATTTTGTATTGATTAAATTATGAATTTATGAATATTATGATGATAATGATACAGATAATACATTTGCTTATAAAGCAAAATTGAAGTGAAATTGTTATTTTTTTCTTTCAAAGTTGCCAAAAAATTGAAAGCTGAGATTTTATGAAGGGTAGGTTATAAAGGGACCATGGCTAGAGAACAAGCAAGGGCCCTTGAGGGTCTAGTAACACTCTGAAACTTGTGCATATTTTTGGTCGTTTTCAATTGTGTTTTAGTCTTGCTATACTTCATAGAACACAAATTCAAAGACTGCATATGATAAGATCAGTCTCTCACCATTATTTTCAAGTGCAATGCCTTCGTGTTAGAAACCCTATTTCAGCTTGTAAATGTTTCATCAAAACCAGTTAATAGGCCTACATAGCAAAATGATAGCCTTACGATCAATCCTTGGTAGGCCTATTTTTTATAATGTTTGCACTATAGCAAATTTATACATTACATTATTAGAAAAATGTGATTATTAGCGAAAATTGCAACATTATTTGGTGTAGAGACAAGTCGATGTTGTGAAAATGAATTTGATAAGTAATGTATTTTGCTTCTTAGATATAATCACAAGAATGGCTTTTTGTAGGCCATTTATTTTTTATATTCATATGGAATTTAAGGATTTAGTAGAATATGTCTGTATTGCTGACAACTGGATTGTTTTGATCTGTCCCTTTGGAAGTTGATTAGCCTACTAGACTATGACCTACTTAAATGAGATTCATTTGATGTAATAGTTTTTAACAGACCTTAACACTGTCTTACAGCCAGGCATCGGAAGCTGTAAGACTGATTTTCTAAGACACACAAAGGGTTGACAGAGAACTCTGGAAATAAAAATCGGGTGTACAATATTTCAAAAAGTTTTCTTCCGGAGCCTGGCTTTAATCATTCAATATTCTTTCATGTTGAAAGTCCGTACACAGGATTTTTATTTCGTGGTTCCAATAGTCAGTGACTTGGACCTTTGGCTGGGGGCCTGTGCCTCCTAGGACAGAGTCCCGACGTTGGGGGGGGGAAGTGTACGCATCCGTCGCAAGTCCCCTCCCGCGTGCGAGCCTGATTCTCGCGCCCGTCCTATCTATTTGAAGTACACCTAAATTTTGGCATGTTATTAGACATTCTGTATTATTTCATTAATTTATAAGATTATTAGTAGTAACCGACAGTCAAGATAGGCAAGAAATTGATATGGATTCCAAGTCATGATTACAGATTACTCTCTAATAACTATTTCGTCTCATTTTATTAATTTTAATATGCATGTAGGGATTTCATAGATTAGAAAACAGAGATTGAGTGTCGTAATCTAACCAATCAGTTAATCTGTACAATCTCTGCTGAAATTCGTTTGCACCCCGTGGTTGCCGTACTATATTTAGACTTAAAGTCTCCGAGCAATTTGAATCACAACCACCAATTTTTATCGTTATGCGATGTTCACGGTTATTAATTAACGAAGAATTCGTTTTAAATTGAATTATCCTATTGCTTAGTATAATTGAGTGCCAATCTTTTTTTTTTGGACCGTGTTTTAAGGGATGTTTGCATGTTTTTCGTAAACCGTGTCTCTCATGAGTGTACACCGTCATACATAAACGAGCATTCTGAATGTTCATGTGTGTAACGTCCATACATAAAACAAATAAACAATTTAAATAATTTAAACTTTAATAAATAATTAACAATCTTTATAATTATAAGCAGTAACAAATAGGCTACATATATTGGTATGCGCATTTTTAAATAAAAAAAAATTGGTAATTCAAATAAGACAGTGTAGCAGCATTGATTTCAGATTTAAATGTAATAAATAGGTCTATACATCCTTTGAAATTGTGCGCGTATTGCGCGAGAAGCGCATCTTTTCGTAATGCTTAATTAGCTGCTTCACTAGTGTAATGTTAAAAGCAAGACTAGCCTTCCGATGTGGTATTTTGAGCTTTTACCGCCATACGGTACTAAGCTGACCATGAGCCTCTCTCCCACCTAGGTTTATTTCACCTAAGAGTCGTACGATTTCTACGAGTTAAAACTCGTGATCTTTGGAAAGGACCTATACGAGCTTATTACGTGTTGGCTACGAGTGAGGTACGACTTTATGGAGTTGGTTACGAGTTATGTACGAATTATGCCCAGCAGAGCACCGAGTTAACTACGAGATTATTAAGAGCGTAACAAGTTTGTACCGAATTAGATACGAGTTAGTTACGAGCCAACTCGGTGAGCTCGTACTTACTTGTACTCGTTTCGGGGTGCTCGCATCAAACTCGTAGATGACAAAACCGCCGACGAGTATCCAGAGTAGTGTACGAGCTAGGTAGGAGTACCCCGAGTACTCTACGAGCTACCTACGAGTTCTTCAAGTTTACTACGAGTTATCTACTCGTGGCGATAATTTTGAACATGTTCAAAATTAGCGCCACGAGTTCAGACTGCTAAGAGGAGTCCTCTCCGAGCTTTCCGAATCGTCCTACGAGTTTTTGCCGAGTTACCGTAGCAACTCGACATTCTCTTGTAACTCGTAAGCTGAAAAAACCCCTAGTGGGAGAGGGGCTTAATCTTGGTTCATATGGCAATATTGGACGCGTTTGACACTAACGCAATTTTGTTTGCGTTTGTGCAAACACGTCTCTGTGAGTTGCTATCGGTTACTTCTTAAGCTAATGAAAAGAGTTTTTTTAATGTGTCTGTTCTGTAAATGTTTTGATATTTTACTTTCTTTGTTGTTAAGGATGCACTAACTGGTGTGCCACTGTTTTGTGTAGGCCTACATCCGATAAATTTGATTGGATACTCTACGCGGGTTATGCCAACAGCAGATAGCACCTTAAGTATTGTAATAATTCTATTGCAACATTCTTCATTAAAATTTAATTTCCCACGAATAACTAGATCCTTGACATAGCTATCCCTTTATTAAGTAATGCGGTTGTGTTTTTATAATGGTCCGGAAATTTATGGAACGTGCATAACTTTTGCCAATTTTGTAAACAGCAACCAGCCAGAAATATTGTGCTTGGGGTAGTTCTGTTGGTCGTACATCTACACGGAATATGTTTGCAGACCCCTGCTGTTGGAAAGAGTTCTATCGGTGTATAGGACCGGGTGCACATCTGTGTCGTATCTCGATCACGCTTGAATGGTGTTTTATATTAACTTTTGACAGGAAGTTTGTAACTGTATCTAATTATACGTACAAGCCAAGGCTACGCTCGGCTGCTATTCGCACGTTGTCGTAGTTTGATTGGTGAGAAATTCTGACAGTAATGAGGGCGACAACAAGATAAGCAGCACTGCTTTTGAAAAAACTCGAAGCAGAAATCTTTTGTTAAATTATTAATTGCAGTTTGTTGATCAGGTATACATCTGCCTTTTTCAACAAATACATCATCGCAAAGACTTTCAGTAATAATTTTGTCCTCTATTTGTCGAATTTTCCATTCACATTTCGGCATGTCTGAAAGGGAATGCACCTTTCTTTTAGTTTTACTTCTATGGAGTTCGACACTTTTTACTTCGTTTTTTGTTTTGAACTCTATCTCTTCTATCCAATTCTTGTCCACATTTGTTTCAGCCCCATCACCTGATGAGTTTCGTAATTCTTTTAATGAATCAAACATTCGATCCCAAACAGTTAAAAACTGCCCGTAGTTGTAATTGAATGATAAATGATGATCCGCATGGTGGCGCGCTCCATTTATGTATCTCTCCGTCCACTTTGGTAGCTCTATTTTCCCATCGTGGATAAAAACAGCCCAGACATTTCCAAAGACCATCATCCCCAAAAAGACGTGTTTCTGAATCGGGATAAATATACCACAGAGATAGTAGGGAAGCACCTGCATTAGTCCGTCCACAGGATGGAAAGCGTGGCTTGCAAATGGCGTTGTAACTTTGTAAGAATGGTGCTGTTTGTGAATATGTTTATAGAAGTATCGATGATGAGCCAGACGGTGTGCCCCATAGCTGAATACGTCGATAAATAGTAAGCAAGTAGTTAATTCAGGAATAACGCTGAACTTCCCTGTAAGACACAATATGAATTAAGTGTTATATGGTTTCTTGTAAATAGTACCGTAATTAATTAGGCCTACATACTTCAATAATTTGGGTGGCCGTGGTAGTCTGAATTAATACTGTCACGGTCACCTGAAGCAGTTCACGCACGAACGAGTTCTTGGTAAAACATTTATTAATTTGTAAATCGTGCTTTAACATTAATATAAAAAAAAAAAGCTCTAGCCTATTTAAGGGAAGGGGAAAGGTTGTCCGATAGAGGGTCTTACAATTTCCGATGGGAGACAATCTATAATCTTAAGTAATAATTTTGTGATTAAGTTTTCTTATCTTAATCATAATCTGCTTACCTAAAAGTGCAGTGTCGTAGTTTTCCCGTAGATTGCAATGTCCATTCACAAGCAGTAGAAGAAATGGAATAGATAGGAAGGACAGCACCGCCAAGGCTGAACAAGAATGCTCAATTTCCCGTCGCAATTGATTCTATAATTAGAAAACACTATATTGTTAAAAACGAATATATATTTATCTATAATTAGAAAACACTATATTGTTAAAAACGAATATATATATATATAAATATATATATATATATAATCAATGTTATATGAAGAGTGGTACATCGTGTCATGAAACTACGGTAATAAAGCAAATAGATAACTAATATAAGTGCTCAGAGAAGTTCCTGAAACAAAAAGTGTCTGCAGTGGGATTCGAACCTGCATCCTTTAGCTATCAAGGCGAGTATCATACCGTTAAACCAGAAGACATACGGTACCGTGTCTAGTCGTAAATTTAACTCACAAGCACTCTCTTTCATACTACTGACGTATACGCTCACACACTGTGGAGTAGGCCTAATTGTTAAGAAAAGCTTATTTGTTGCAACAGGAAATCATAGTAGGCCTACAGGTAAATGATATAACCAAATTAGAACTGTGCGTAGCACTGTAAAGACAGTATACACATAGTTAAATAATAAGGAGCACTGTTATTATTAGGCCTATTTCTCTATTTGTATACCGTATATAAATATATATATATATAGTATATATATATCACATATATACCGTATATATATATGTATATATATATCACATATATATACCGTATATATATATATATATATATATATATATATATATTATAATAAAGGACCCATCCATATGTCATACAATATTTAAATTTAAAGGAACCATAGGATATATATAACACAAATCAAACAAGACTTCAACCCGGTAACCCAATAGTGACCTGATGGTTACTCGCCTTCATGTAGATTTAATTAATGCTTATTGACATTCTCTAATAGAAATATTTATGTTAGTTTTTGATTGTCGTATAATCCAACCATTTAGCTATTAAAACCCGTCCATCAATCATGTTCAATTTGGATGTTCTATTATAAATTGTTCGGTGTCCGACTAGATCGTATTCGTATTCGAAACAAATAATTAGTGTGACTGACCCAGTGAGTTTAGATATATTCATACCTATTGTTTCAATTTTAAATTAAAATGTATTAAATTTCTCTCATTACTAACCAATTCTGACACAGCACAGATGTAAATCACAAAATTTCCGGCAACACGAAACCATTTAATAAATTGATTAAAATTTACCAACCTTGCCAAACAGCGGGTGCTGCATCACGTTTTGGTCAAAGCCAAAATAAAAGTTGATTGAGCCAGCGATGAGGTAGAATAGGAGACTGGATGCGGATGCTAGGAGGTACAGACTCGTCACCTGTCTTTTTATATTATCCTCTATGACGGATGATGGGTATATGAAAGGAGTGAAGAAATATGTGTCCGCGTAGAACAAGGCTGAGTCCATTTCTACGGAAAGACAATATCTATTGGTTACTTGGTTAACAGCAAATTCAAGGTTAACCCAGTTTAAGTTATACTTTAAATAAAAATGGTAATTCACACCAGACAGGCCCGGCAATGATAGATGGGGTGCGTACGCACCAACTCCCCCTCCCAGCCTCCCAATCGGCCCAGAAAAAATGTACTGAAAATAAAATTTGTTTTCTGTTAAAAAAAAAAAAAATTAATGGGGAATCTTAAATATTTACATTTTAACCAGCAGTCTATCACCGGGTCAGTATTTGGGCACTAATCAAAGCTGTGATTTAACCGGCTCTTCCCCGACCTCATTTTGCGCATATACCCGCACCTCTACCACGATGGCAATCCTGAATGCGGCACTGCTTGAATGTTCAATGAATATTTTCAATAAATATAATAACATAAGCTACTCATCATCTACTAAGATATCTATGTAGTCACTATGCAGAATGCTATTGAATAATTCTATTTTTAATAAACATAGCGGTGCATAGTACATAGGCCAATTTAATACATGTTCCGTTATCTATATAACACAAGCCTTGTACAGCACATAAGCCTTTCGTAGTTTGGAACTACGCATGCCCATATCCAATGCCTGGTATGTTTGTTAATGTCCGTTAACCTTGATATTATGTATATGTGCAGTTAGACTACGAAATGGGTTATTTACAAATAGTAACACTCCAATAATTTGTGATTATCGCCGCTCTCGAATAAGCGCCTCTAAGAGAAACTACGCGCCACGGTGTTTATTGGGTCATTTACGGTATCCTGATTTACGGTATTGTACTGTACATACATTTGTTATTAGTTGATTGTATATTAAATACGGTATACGTGGCACCGTTTGGGACATTCACCATTTTGTATACAAAACTGTATTTTGTCAAGACAAAATGCTATTTTGGACGAAATGCTAGTTTGTAACACCAAAAGTTATTTTGTCAAAATTAATTTTGTCGTGATAAAATGTTATTTTTTCGATACAAAAATGATTTTGTTGAACAAAATTTATTTATACAAAAATATTTTGTCGACAAAAGAACTTTCGTTTCGACAGAAAAACATTTTATCGACAGAATAGTTATTCTGTCGAACAATGGAGGAATTAGTTTATTCCTGCATGGTCGAACAGAATCATAGTTTTTTTCTTGACAAAACAAGATAGTTATGTTTCACAAAATCACTTTCGTCTTTACAAAGAGCATACTTGCTTGACAAAAGTAAATCTGTTTGACAAAATAACTTTTTATCACGATAAAGTAAATTTTGTTCAACAAATTAACTTTCGTATTGACAAAATAACATTTTAGCACGACAAAATAACTTTTGTTTTGAGCCAAATATCCGAGCGGTTAAGGCAAGGGCACCTGATCATAGCCAACAATATAGGCACGGGTTTGCGGCCGGCTTGCTCCTATAGAGGATCTGGTGGTGGAACAAGTCTTCTCGGATAAGGACTGTAAACCGTGGGCCCGGTGTACACAAATGCTCATGTGCACTTTAAAGAACCCAGTACATCTTTCGAGATGAGTATAGTGGGTATACCCCGGTGTAGGCCCTACTGGTTCACTCGGCCCCTGTCGTGGACAGATGAAAGTGCGCCGGTTTACTGGCTGCAGAGGACATGAAGTGACCCTCAGGGGAGGAGAAAGTTATTGAAAAGTGCAACATCTAGTCCCGAGCGTATAAAGACCTCGTTTATTTTGCACTATATAAATCCATCTATTATTATTATTATTATTATTATTATTATTATTATTATTATGATTATTATTATTATTATTATTATTATTATTATTATTATTATTAAAATAGTAGTGTCTTATAAAAAGCAGTTTTGTAAACAAAATGGTGAATTTCCAAAACGGCGCCTGGTAAAAATAATCCATTAAATTTGTGTGAGAGGGAGAGGCTTAAACAAAAGTCAAAAAATAGATATGACGTAAATGTGATCCAAATGAAGTAATGTTCCAAAAGAGAAATATTTTAACAGTGTCCGAAACAAAAAAACAAACAGTAAAGCGTAAACACTTTTTTGTGATTCTAAGACGCCAAGAAATGCCAAAAGAATGTGATAAATTACAATCTATCCTAACAAAGCTCCGGGGTTATCAGCACGCTAGGATCATTCTTTTTCCCTTCAGGTCGATTTCAATTTTTAAAATTCCATTGCGTCAATGTAAAAGTGCATAACAGACCTTGACCGAAAGAAAATATGAACTATGTGTGGTTGGATATCATGGACGGAATAAAAATACACAATATCGATCCGTTAACTATCATATGATATTTTTGTTTCTTGGAAAACTAAAGTTAGCCTGCTTGATAACACAGCGTAACGTTTGTTAGCCGCACGAGCACCCTACAGCAAAGTGTGTGAAAACAATTTATCGTCTGGCTGATTTTACACCAAATATTTTGAGTGGTTTTTGCGGACTGATATAAACAAAAGAGTAGTTATTAAAAGTGGATATTCTTAGCACAAAATTAGTCGTCATAGTGACAGTCACCATGGTGATACTAGAATGTTGTCAAACTTTAAATAACGGCATTTTAGTTGCACACCATCAGATCATCATGCTTCGTAATGAATGTTGTTTATTTCATTTCAACTTTATTTCAGACATTCATCAATAGAAATACAATATCCCTATATAATGATGTGAAAAAAAATATTGAAATATGAAATTAATAAGTTATGTAAGCATAGGCCTACAATTACCTAAAATAAGATTACATTAAATAATCATTAAATGTAAATACACTTTTTTTTTTTAAATAAGTACAACACATTTTGTAAGAACACTTTAGGCTGAAATTGCTTAAAAATAAGAACAAATTGAGGCTGAGGTCAAATTTCCAATGATGTTTTTATTTATAAAAACCAACAAATTCTATCTCTGCCTTACGTGCAATAGGTGTGACTATGCAATAGCCACTGTAATACAGTACAGTAATATACTGCTGTACAATAATAATTTTCTATCTTTAAAAAGTGTATATAAGAACAAAATAAGAACATATTGAGCCTGAAATCGGCAAAATAAAACACTGAGCCTGGGCGAAATTTTACTGGTTCTTATAAAAAAAAAGTGTAATGAAATAAATGATAGTAGGTCTATTTATAAATCGCAAACTTAAAGATACATAAATACATTGGTATACTTTGCTATCGGATTTGGCCCAACCTTATAACGAATTCGAGTTTAAGATTAAGTATGTCAACCTGGGACCCCATGGTCATGTGACGAATACACCAAAGTTCATAAGCTTTTGTTGAGGTTAGAAAATTTTCCCTCGCGGTGTACTCCATGTAAAGAATTTTTAGACTGTTTACTTTTTCGCATCGGAAACAAATTATCAAAACATGCTCTATGCTTTTGTCATCATTATATTGAATTATTTCAGTTTTCATACGCGACAGAATTCCTTGTGGAAGCATCGGAAGGACCATCCTAGGGTGCCTCAGTAACCCCAGGCGTAATTTCGTAGCGCCAGCTTAAAATAAGAAATTAAATTAGAATTAATAACTTGAAAGTTGTAAATGGCACGTGTTGTAAAACGCGACGCCCATGATTCCAGACCAAACTGAACCGTTCGATATTAGAACCACACAAAAAATGTTGGTTTGCTGCATGTAGGGCGGCGAAAGTGTCAACCACAGACGCTTGCTCGCCCAGAATATTTCAAGAGACACTCACAGGCCATGTATCCAGCCTAGCGCAAGGTGACTGAGATTGGTTTACTGTATTTTATCTGGAAATTGTTCCAATGCTTCTTGAGCACGTTATCTAAACGCCAGTCTCCAGTTGCCCGGGAACGATCCGAAGTCGAAGATTGCAGTGGTTATGTGCAGAGCGAAACTTATTAAACAATATCATCGCAGGTGGTTGAGTTCACGCTTTGATATGCCGACTACCTTGCTGAGTGGTCCTATTCAATATATTTATCAACATGCATCTTTTGAACACCTGTACAATGATTGACACTTCAGTACTGATTGGCATGTCCATTTATTGCTCAGGGTTACCTTTTCCGTATATGGAACATATAGCATGACTATCGTCCATGTAAATCAATTATTAGTGGATAATGAGTTGAAATTTGCAACGGAAATTGGTTGAAAACATCTATTATGGACTTGAATTTCACCGTGCTGTATACAACATTTCAATCATTGAATAATGTCATCGATATCTTGAGTTTGTTTTCTCTCGAAGAGGTCAATGCATGACCTCTTTTCTCTCTCCAACTAGGCCCAGAGCATGTGTGCAGTCAATTCATTGACATGTTTCCACGAAATTTTCCTACTAATTTTAAATGCATACATAATAATATAGGCCTACAGATTGTTAAAAAAAAGTGTTCACTGCGTATCACTGTAAACATAATGTAGATAAATAGATATACAATAGGCCTAATACCGTGCTCGATTCGAGTATAGAAATTCAAGTGGGCGTGGTCGGGCGTCGTTCAAAATCTATAAGAATTTAGTGTGTTCAAAGGCTTATTTAAACGATTTTATAGAGTTTACTGATATGCAAAAAAGATATATAATTTGTTTTCTCTCGGACGAAGTGTGTCTTTGTCTCCTGACCAGGGACGCCCCCCCCCCACCCAACTGGCGCCACCCATGAGACAAAAGACAGAGCAACGAAGTGTGTCTTTGTCTCCTAACCAGGGGCGCCCCCCCCACCCCCACTGGCGAGACAAAAGACAGAGCAACCGGACGGAAACATACAACAGGGCCGCGAAGAATTACAAGATGAGAAAGAAATATCAGCAAGGAAATCATACTACAAATTTAAACAAGGTCTCCCTCAAATTAAAGACCACTTTTGGGACCGGGGTTTCCATGGCATTTAGCAGCTTTGTTCTTTATTAAGAATAATAAAGATAAAAAACAGGAACCACAGAAAAGTGGTCTTTAATTGTAGGTTGTCTTTAATTGGAGGGGTCTTTAATTATAATAATAATGATAATAATAATAATGATAATAATAATAATAATAATAATAATAATAATAATAATAATAATAATAATAATAATAATAATAATAATAATAATAATAATAATAAACTTAGGCCTAGTAGTGCATTTTCAAGTAAAACAATCTGGTCAATATGCTTTACAAAAATAAAATTGGTCAAATCGAATCAAAATTCAATAGAAATTTGCAAAAGAAAAGATGTTTTCAGTTTGTTTTTAAAAGTTTTCGGTGAGGTTATTGTTTAAGATCAATAGAGAGGCAGCACTGCCATGTATTCAGTCGCATCGAAAGTAAAGTACAGGTATAATTACGGATTTCTGCCATTGTCTATTAATCAGTATACAAATGTTACTGATGCTGTTGATATGAATGCATCCCATGTATAGTTGTAATTTTGCCCTACCTGACTTGAAAATGTACTGAATACTCAGTATGTTTGAAAACAATTGCGAAAAAAATCGCAAGTTGTTCTCGGGTGGGACTCGAATCTGGGTTCTCCTGACGCAAATCCAGTTATTGTCTATTCCATTACGACAATAACAATTACTATCAATGCATTTCATTTGTTTTACCGTCTTGCTAATCTACAGCAATTTGCATTTCGTTTTGGGATTGAATCTTAGTACAATGAAAATCAAGCAGAGTTACCATGAAAATTTGAAAATAGTCTTTTGTTTGAGAACCTGAAAAACACGACGGATAACTAATACTATAAAGTGACCACCCAAAAGATTTTTATAAAGAGGTAATTGCGTGCACGGACTGAAATAAATTATAATAATTCGTAGTAGACCTTGACAATCTAAATCCTAAAGCAAAAACGCTAGTGGTTCCGAGGTAGCACGTGATAGCGCAGGGACTGATGACATCTTATTGCACCAGCACTGCAACCGGATCACAAAATCACTCCAGGCCCGACAAGTTAAACGAGCTAAACTAAATATCTACATATTTGTACCTATCTGTACTCACGTCTGTTTAAAACTATAGAAATGACGTTGTAAATGTCGTTCGATCGTTTTAAATAAAAGTGATAAATTAAGTTCAGGCCCTGTCTCTTATACACATCTAGATGTGTATAAGAGACAGACCCAGGTCAGTACATCATGTTACACATGTTGACACAAATTTAAAATGTAAAATAAGTGTCCCCCGGGCTAGATAGGGGCATGGCAAAAGGGCATAACTACACAATTTTTAGTAAATTACCAAGGCAAAAGCGCATAACTGCAAAGATAGACTGTGATACGCTGAAGAGTGACGTTCTTTCAACAGCCAACCAATCAGAAGAGAGCTTTCTCCCTGGTTACAATGAAGGTTGCATGTCAAGTTGTATTATTTTTATTATTCTTACTGTTTGTGTACTAACAATTTGTAAATAGAAAATGGTTAAATAGTATGATTCTTGACAGTGGCATATGTCTAGTTAATGTTAGGCACATGATAAGTCTAGTTAATTTATGCTATATAATCTTGCCTTACTTTGAATGCAACAGTTTAATACTATGGAAATAAACTATGGGAAATGAGTAACTGTTTAATAAAAATAATTAACCATGGCAGAATAACAATTCACATTTTAACTAGAAATAACAGTGACAAAGAGGGACAACTAAAACGATTATTTAGCAAATAACTATGGCAAAGAGGCACAACCTGTCTCTTATACACATCTAGATGTGTATAAGAGACAGGTGTATCTTTGTCTGTTACATCTATCACATTGCCCCATTTATCAGACAGGACACGCCTGCTCCTAAAATATTAAAATAAATAAAAAACAATAATATTCGTAATCATTTCATTATTACTTGAATTTGGATCATAGAGAAGAATTGCTAATAATAATAATAATAATAATAATAATAATAATAATAATAATAATAATAATAGGCCTAATTTATATTGCAATTACAAGACTTAAAATATATATATTGATTATTTTACTTTGTAAATAAAACTTTAAAAATAATTGTAATTCTTGTTTAACGTACACTTTACTTTTAATATACGATGAGCATTTTGAATCTTTGCCACCATTTGTCATCAGACCACTTAAAACCGAAACTTCGGTTATAAAAACATCTTCAAATTTTGTATATGGCACTTGACTCATTTTGGGATTTGTGGTCGCAATGTCACTGGAATGTTGTATCGTAATATTTCGTGTAGATTTACTGTTGCCGTGTTCGGTCCTTTCTGCTTGATGAGTTTAGTCAAACATGTCTAGCAGAAATAGAGGCTTCCTCGTGGCCTGTACGCACGCACGCACTGTCATCAGCGAACGCGTAAGCTACTCGCTGCACCGCCAATCGGTGAATAGAGAGCTATTATTCCGTAGACGTATCGTATTAATGTAAGCAAAACAAAAATTGGGTTACAATGTACCGGTAGTCCAGACGCGTGTCAGAATGAATGCACGGTCTTCTAAATCAAACGGTTACAACATTTACACAGGTTCGTCACAGTACAAAGTGTTTCTAAACTGAGACACCGGAATCAGATTAATTTATGGGGTTGTGTAGTCCCATGAGTAAGCTATGAAATTCGATACCGGTACTTGGTTTTTTTCGTTTAAGAACTGTGGAGTTATAAAATGTAAACTACAAACTTCCATGTTTTTGTTTTTGTTTTGTTTTTTAGCCGATAATTCCTTCACAATTGTAATAACATGTAAATAAAATCACTTTTGCTTTTGCTTTTGCATTGCCTTATCACCCCTGCTCAACTTTTTTTTTATTGTTTTTTATCAAAAGATTGAAAATAAATAAATGGAGGAATGACTACTAGCATCAATAAAAATAGGCATATGTAAGGCAAGACTTTTTTGTACCTTGTTTGGCAAACCTTCCTACAACCAATAATGCAACTCCAAGTAGGCCTACCGTATAGCATGGCTTTTAGATAAACCTTTTTAGAAATAGCAATTGCATTTTGCAATTTGTTGTAGGCCTAGGATTAGCATTTTATTATACTTTTATCATAGTCGAATGCTGACCTATTTGTATTTCATTTTTCACTTTTCGTAATTGATTAAATGACAATATCATGCAATGCAGTGTACGGTCAGTCCTTTCATTTGCGATGTGTCTGCTTACATGAAATGTTATTTTTGGCCAGTTAGCGCACCCCTTTGCTTCTCTAAAATTTCCAAAAATGAGATAGGCCTATCTATCAATATTGATACCGGTATACATTCATCAATTTCATTACTACATTTACATTCATCAATAACATTTTAATTTTATTTTCTCCTCCGCCTAGATGCTTTTGGCAAAACCATTTTGCTAAGAAAGAAAACAAATATTATTTTTTCCGCCCGCTCCTATGACGATCTTAAAAAAAAAAATAAGTTCGCTAAACAAGGTACCGTATTAAAAAGTCTCGCCTAAATAATTAGTATTAAAATGAGTCCAACTTACTTTTGTACCCGTATGCATATGCGTTTGCTCCTGTTCAATCTTGTGTCGAATATTGACAATCAATATTCCAAACACATCAGTTTATAAAACGTTTTGTTCAAGGTCCGCCCAACTGCCAATCAAACTGGTACGTCATGAAGTTTCTGTGTCGCGACGTACATGGTTGGAGAGAGCTACACAAGTGTCAATGAAGCATTGCAAATGTTTTGAATTGAATGTGTGACCCCCACTGGAACGAGTATTGGGCAAATTCTAACCACACTGACAAACATCAGGGGCGGCGGTACCATATCTTTACAGATGCAGTGAATTACGTTAGCTATTCAGACTCACATAGAGTAACAGACAATTACAACAGCATAAGTTACAAGATAGGCCTACGTATAGAAAATATATATGGTATACTGCTAAATATTATTTCAATTTTTATTATTTCTATTTTAATTAATTAAATATTGAATACGGTAGTAATAATAGGCACATAATGATAATTTCTAATATTATGATTATTTTGTTATTCTCATCATCATCGTCATCATCATCACCATCATTTTCATCATGATTTTGTGGAAGCGGTTTGGCGCAGCGGGCAGCGGTGGCTTTAGAAATTTGTCAACAAGGGGTCCGACATATCTGACGTAGGGGTCCGATTCAAGTGACCGACTAGAGCCTCGGAATAAAAAGAAATTTCTGGTAGGGTTCACGGGGCGTGTTTCAAAGGCTTAGTATGATCCCAATGGACCTTTCCGCTAAGCCCCGCCCCTTGGATATTGTTGCTAAGGTCCCACAATGCGACAGTGTTAAAACCATAGAGCTATTAAATGGTTAAAACATAGCGAGCACGTGCGTTTGTAGGACAACACGTGTGTTTGTGAGACGCGCGCGTATTCCTAGCGCTGTTCTGATTGGTCAGTTGTTAAGTTTGATTGACACTCCGGAAAGGTCTATTGTGCTTTTTCGACCACAATATTAGGGATTAGCAATTAAAATTACGTTATTTGGATAGGAAAATTATTTTTTAAAGTTTTGATCCGACAACCTAGTCTTCGCGTCGGACGACAAGTGGTGTCCAGTCTTTTCGACGGGGGTAGGGGGTAACAATTTGATAACAAATATTGAAAACATGTAAATTACGTTAAGCGGGAGATTTAATTTGCGGGAGATGGATTATTTACGAGAAATTCCCGACTTTCGGGAGACTCCAGCGAGTTCCGGGAGACTTAGGCCCCCTGCTGCGTAAAAATTTTATAAGAACACATTGCAGTCGCAATGTAAAAACGAAGATTTTACTGAAATTTATATATTGATCAACAGAACGTTGCTCAAAGTGTTTATTACGTTGACTGATGTATTTGTTATTCTGTTGTCACCAATGTACAGTCACAATTCACTCAATCAGCACCGAGTGTATATAATAAAAACTATTTGATAGACTATATATAAATTTGATATTTTCCCGGCGTTTACTGAGTGAATATCAGGACCACCCTGAAGTAAATACAAATACAGACATTCACTGTGATAAAAATGCAGCCGTCTTACGCGCAGTGTTTTAATATTTATTTATGTTAAACTTTTGTTCTAGTTTCTAGACTCTGGACGAGTGTCCTCACACTGTATTGTAGCTGTCTCTTATACACATCTAGATGTGTATAAGAGACAGCTTCTAAATCAAACGGTTACAACATTTACACAGGTTCGTCACAGTACAAAGTGTTTCTAAACTGAGACACCGGAATCAGATTAATTTATGGGGTTGTGTAGTCCCATGAGTAAGCTATGAAATTCGATACCGGTAGTTGGTTTTTTCGTTTAAGAACTGTGGAGTTATAAAATGTAAACTACAAACTTCCATGCCACTTTCGAAACCTTTTAATCGTAGCTCGACCACGCCCACTTTGCTTTCGTCGGGGAAATCTGACTCCTCGTCGGGGAATCGGGGTGTAATAAGAGAAAAGAAAGAGGGGAGAGGGAAGGAAAAGAAAGAAGGGGAAAAGAAAAGGAAAGGAAAAAAAAAGAGAGGAGAAAAATAAAGACAAGAATAAAAAGGAAGATATCATCATAATGACCAGACTCACAACACCCTGCAACCCCTTCTCCACTTCAAAAAGTGTCCATAGCTCCTTTAATCTAAGCCGCCAGATATTCTCCATAAGAGGAAATTATCCATCTGTGGAAAATCTTTCCCCACCCCTTGAAGATGCCCTTTTAACCCCTGAAAGTGCCTAAAAATCTCAAATTTCCTGCGCTTCGCGCGCATTTCTTGTTAAAGTTGGCCAGTTTCCTCTAAAAATTGCACATTTTCCGGGGAGTTTTGATCAATTTCGACGAAATTAGGATTAAACACAGAAACATTTTTGCGGGTGAGAACTTGTGCTTGTCCTCCTTTGCCTTCTAATTGAACACATAATAGTCCCAACTCAAATAAAGAACATTTAAGATAGTTTTACCTAAAAGAAGGGCTTCAATGTGTATTGATGGTGAAAGAGTTTGTAATAAATAAAAACCATTATGAAAATGCTTATAGCCTATTTAGTTTCAAACACACGTGTGTGGCCTATTATAAATAAGATAAGCCATATGTCGTATTGTTTTCTATATGGGGCGGGGGGATGTGGGTATGATAAATTACTAACCGAGAAAATTATTACCTTTTTCCCCGACCCAAGACCCCTGTTACGCGCCTGACCAAGACATTTGAAGTTTCGAAGTCCGCGGCAGAGATACGAAAATGTTTCGAGATATCGACATAACACGATTAGGCATATATATTTTAATAGCAATCTGTTCTCATATAGTCCACTCTCCACAAATCTGATGGCAACAACAACATTCTCAACACATCCTATGTTCTACTCTAGTAGAGGTACACTTTTTCTCACCTCGTTGGGAATCGGGATCAATAAATATTTTGATACGTAATAACACATTTGACTGTAATTACTACGGTATGCGTTTTAGTTCCACATTTACAGAAAAATTAAGGGACGTTTATTTGAATAATAATAATAATAATAATAATAATAATAATAATAATAATAATAATAATAATAATAATAATAGGGGCCTAATAATATTATTATTATAATAGTAGTAATAATAATAATAATAATAATAATAATAATAATAATAATAATAATAATAATTGCTTAGGCCTACCTTCATTTTGACCAAGAACGTATATCAAACCAAACCTACAGAATTTACATGGCGAAAACTGAGCCAAGAAAATGTTTATTCAAAGTAGCATTCCTTGAGTCGTCATCATAATTTACTGTTTATAGTAAGCCCATTACAACCAAATTGTTTTATTTTTCTCTCGTTAAGGTAAAATGAACGGAATCATGAATCAACAATACAAGAACTGTGTCATAAGCCAGTACCGTGGCAACCTAATAAAATCTACTGTATATGCAGTCTTCACATTCATTAATCATGAATAAGCAAACATAGGCCTATTCTTTACATTTTACTGTGCTTTGGGCCATGAAGTTCTCCCAATTCATAATCTTGATCAGATCCAACTTGCAGTTCTTAATGCAAAGTCTCACCAGAGACGCGCCTGTATTTGCAATTTGTATTACTTTACAACATGTGAGAATTAGTGCTAGCATCAGACACATCAACTGTAGTGTTAATTAAAAGAAACCCTCTCAACTAACTATCCACCTCCTCTTTCATTCTTCCCTCTAACTCTCTCAACTCACTATCCACCTGATCCTCTTTCATTCTTCCCTCTAACTCTCTCAACTCACTATCCACCTGATCCTCTTTCATTCTTCCCTACTCTCTCAACTCACTATCCACCTGATCCTCTTTCATTCTTCCCTCTAACTCTCTCAACTCACTATCCACCTGATCCTCTTTCATTCTTCCCTTTAACTCTCTCAACTCACTATCCACCTAATCCTCTTTCATTCTTCCCTTTAACTCTCTCAACTCACTATCCACCTGATACTCTTTCATTCTTTCCTCTAACTCTCTCAACTCACTATTCACCCCTCCAATTAAAGACCTCCTCCAATAATAGACCACTTTAATGTGGCCCCGTTTAAAATTTCCATCAAATATTTGAAGGAAATTTAAAAATATGGATTTATTCTTTATTTGAAAGATCAGACAATTCAAACAGGGGACCACAGAAAAGTGGTCTTTTATTTGATGTGGTCCAATGCATTTAATGCATTTTTAATAAGTGATGATGGTATGCAACAAGGCAATTGCCTATAAATATACCCACAACATTTACAAGATGATGTTTTGTGTATATTATTGAATAGTCCTACCGACGGCTTTAGGACGATGTAGTCATGTTGTAATGGAGATTTAGAACGAGTAGGAATTGATGTGTGACTACCCAGAAATGGTTTATTGAGGATCAATAGCAGCATACAATAACTGTAAATCCTTTCTAGCAATTGTAATAAAACGATCTTACATTTACTAGGCCTATATCATTTCTTAATTTACCTCTAAATATTGATATTTAAAGACCACTTTCAGTGCTGGTCCTTAATTAGAGGGATAATAATACAAGAGCTTGTATGTACCGCGTCTTTTGCCAAGGGATACAAGGCGCAATAAGAATAAATAAAAAAGATAACCAATTGGTGATCAACAAAGACACCAGAAATGACAACAAAACAGAAAATCTGGACAGTTAAGTGAGATCTACTTTAGGCAACAAATGTTTCTTGAGAAGCCGACGAAAACCAAGATACCTTAAATTCTCGAATAAGCGTCGCTCTCGAATAAGCGCCGCGGCTCTTAATTAATCGAGAGTACCGGTATATTACCCTGTGTGTAAAGAAACACTTTGATACAATGTATACAGTGTTAAAATGAATAAATAACACAATGAAGACACAAGCATTTCTTTATAAACGTTATAAATGTATTTACGATGACGTAGGACCTATGATAGGCCTACTGCTACGGGAATACGTGACATAAAGCCAGTTTTCCATTCGCGCGAATCGATGGCGTCGGTTCGCTTCCTGATTGGTTGCGCATTTTTTCGCTTTGCAAAAATCCGATAGAAATTATGTGAGTGCGCGTGCGTATGAACCGACGCTTTCGATTCGCGCAAATAAATTCGCCTAGTGGAAAACCGGCTTTAGTAACATTGGAAACGGGTATGGAAAGCGCCACTCCATGTTTTTATAAGCGCCGCACCGAAGCCTCCAAAAATTTTATAAGCGCCGCGGAGCTTATTTGAGCATTTACGGTAACTAGTAGACAGACTTGCCACAAGTCCCTTATTGCAGGTCTCCCTCCAATTAAAGACCATCTCCAATTAAAAACCACTTTCTTGTGGTCCCGATTGAACGCCTGTTGTATCATTATATTCCCTCCAAGCAAAGACTCCCTCTAATTATAGGCTAGGCCAAAGACCAAGGTTTTGGTGGACCCAACTGAAAATGTTCCCTCCAAATAAAGACCACTTTAAAATAAATACTAATTTTAATACATTTTTTAAAAATAAAAAATGTTTACAATTCTATATACTTCATAATACTATGCAATTATGCTCTACTAAGATGATATTTTGTGTATACTTGCTCCATGTTAAATGTGCTCTATTCTGTTGATCATTAATCCTACTTCCATGTCATTTCTGCAATCCCCTGCTAGAAACTTTCTAGGTTTTATCATCTTTTATTTTGTACAATCCACATATCTTGATCTTTGATCTTAGTCTTTAGCCATACTAGTGATTCTCTGTCTCCAATGAAGGTAAAAGTACAGGCACTTCCATCGCGTATCCTGCTCCTCAATTTACATGGCTTCCCAGTGATGACAGCTCTACCTCTGTTTGAACATTGCTTTCGAAACAAGCTGACATATTTATTTGTTTTGGAATGTGTCCTAGCTTGTGTTTCTTTGCAAAAATGGTTAGGTTGCATTTCATCTTGCCTAGGCCCAGTTGTGTATTTGACAAGCTCCTGAACTGCTACTGTACTATCATCTTCAATGTTGCCTGGCTCCCTTCTCATTAACAATTCCTCACTCAGTCTGCAGGAATCCATGAAGTCATATCCTTGTACTCATGGTATCCTCTCACGAGTTTCAATAATTTGAAATTAATTTTCTTCCTGATTCTATTTTGACAGTATAGTAAAAGACCAGGTGTTTTAGTTTATACAATGCCTAGGCCCTAGATTGTTTCATTTTGATCATGGATGAAGGTATATCCTATTATTAAACTGTACCCTCCTTTTTTACAACAGCTCATTGAGTAGCTCTGACCTTCAACTTATAGGTAATGAGTTATAAGTCTTGTTGAAGTATAGTATTTGTTTATTAGATAATTTTTTTTATTAATTAAAAGTTAATGAACCTTTAAAATAGTTGTTCATTTGATTTTATTTTGACTAATTTATGTGTGAAAAATATTTGAAATGTTTTATTAGGAATCAACAGCAGCTACAATAACTATACATTCATTCTAATACAGATGGAATAAAGCAATTAATCTTATATTTAATGTGTTGATTTCGCTCTGAAGAGTATTTAAAAACCACTTTTAGTGCCCGTCTTTTAATTAGAGGGATTCTAATTAGAGACCACATTAAGACCAGCAAAACCCCCGGTCCCAAAAGTGGTCTTTAATTGGAGGGAGACCTGTATTATTTTTCTCATTCCGGACAGCGCCACCAACGAACAAGTTAATTTTGAGACTAGACCTATGATGGATGATGGACTAGAATTAATAATCCGAAAAAATAACAACAAAGAAATCGAGTATGGGACGCCAAATTAATTAGGTATGGCTCACAATAAGGTAACTAGAAGCATGTTGTAACTCGCTAGGAAGAGGCTATTCTAAAGCCCAGGTGGAGCAATTGAAAAATCCTATCAGCAGCTATCTTATTCTGAGGCTGAGGTTCTTAGTAAAGTGAACCAATGAATGAACGACAATTGGGGCTAGATTAACAATATAGCGGTTTTTTTAGGCGCCAGCCCCAGGCCCACGGCTCCAGTGGGGAAAAGTAGGTCCCCGAACCACAGGAAAAAATCTAGTTTTATGTTGTAGCCACTGAGAATTTAGGCCCACCGTTTTGCAATTACACCCACAGGCCCCACAGCCCTTTTGAATCCTTCCCTGTGAAAGATTATGGCCATGGCGACAATGTTGCCTAGATAGAGATAATTGTTAGGGATTCTAATTAGAAACTAAAGCTGCTAAAGACCATCACCAAAAAACCCCGGTTTCAAAAGTGGTTAGACCTGTATTATAATAGGCTATAGACCGTGCCGGCTTCCCATAAATTAAGGCGAGACTTTTTTATTCCTTGTTTTGCAAACTTATTTTTAAAAGATCATCAGGAGGGCGAAAAAAACAAAGTTTTGTTTTCTTATTTAGCAAATAGTTTTGCCAAAAACATCCAGACGGAGGAGAAAATAAAAATAAAATTTTATTGGTAAATGTAAACAGTGTAGTAATTGGATGGTTAAATGCTTTAAATTTATATATTTTAGGAAGAAATGTACATGGATATCTTATTTTTGTAGATTTCAAGGCAGCGTAGGGCCTAATAAAAATAAAGAAAGGTTTTATTTTTTTCTGAAATTTCCAGTTTTTGTGACGGTGGGTACGCTAATTGGCCAAAAATAACATTTTATTTTTATTCTAATCATCATTATCTGCGTCCGACATGTGAACTCTTGAGGGCTCCCTATATTCTTCCCATAATGCAATATAGAACGCACCAGAAAACCAGTATGGCTGATCAAGGTGAGGAAAACCCAAAGAAAATTCAAGTTGTCGTCAAAACCCCCAAGGAGAAAAATACCGTAGAGGTTGAGGAAACAGTGACTGTAAAAGAGGTATTTATAGTATATGATTTTAAGAATTGTTTGCCCATTGCAAATGTTTCATATAATCGTGGTTAATATAAGTAGGCTAGGCTAGGCATAGGCCTACACACAGTACACTGCCTCTCTCACTCAGCAGTCAGACACTGTTCAGTACAGTAGTAGTAGACTCGGCCTACACAGTCATAGACCAGGGCTAGTCTAACTAACTGCAATAGATGCTTGTTCGTGACAGGACAGGGCTGTATTCAAAAGTATTTTGTTTCGATGTATGCCGTCACCACCTATACATTTAATGATTACGATTTATTAAATTGGCGCTAGGCCTAATGCAATACTATAGGCCTAGGCCCCTATCTATACTATACATAAGTCAATCGTGACGTCATCACTGCAACTCCCAATGTTATTTGCCTATTCCCCACCGTCCACTAATTTTTCAATTAGTGGACGCCTGGCTTGATTTTTTTAGGTTTGTGTATAAAAAAAATTCCTAATTTTTTCGTCACCACGAAGACATCAATAAAAATTGAATTGTAATTGAAAATTACTTTAGTAAAAGAAGGTTAATTAGAACCCGAAGAAAGTTACTTTAAAGTATGAACAATTAAGCAATTCCTTGAATCAATGAACCTAATAATCTAAACAAACTGAACGTTTAAAAGGAATAATCTAGACTTATTTTAAAGACTCAAGGAACGAAATTAGATGTATAGCCGCTGAAGCCGCCTCCTACTAATAGCCTAAGCCATATGTATCCTAGCGTAGTTATGAAATCATCCCAAGATTTTTACCTGTCTGCACCGACCAAAAAGTTAGTAACAGTGACTGTATTCTCTCTCGAATGCTTTGAAAAATGTTTATTTCTTTGACGAATGTGAAAAATTACAAACAAGTTCTTTTAACACAGGGTGGGGTGCTTGTCAATGTTTGAGTGACGGTTACTCAATTTATACTTTGTTTTCTTTAGTGTATTGTATTCTGTTTGAAGTATTATTTTTTTTTGGACGCACCTTTATCATGTGAAGTGTGCCACTGTTTCAAAAGTGTAGTTTCCCAATAAACTATTATTATTACAATACAAATTACAAAATAGCCTAGGCCTAGTTATTTATCGTATCCGTACAGTACTGCTGATGTGTAGTTAACGCATAGGTG